CTAACTTCAGTTACACATTTCTGTCTTGCCTTTTAGTCTTACCTTTCAGTGATACAATTTTGTCCTAACTTCAGTTACACATTTCTATCTTCCCTTTTAGTCTCATCTTTCAGTGATACAATTTTGTCTTAACTTCAGTTTCACATTTCTATCCTGCCTTTTATTTTTATCTTTCAATGATAATTGTTTGTCTTTACCTTTCTGTCTGTACACTTTTGTCTAATTTGCAGTTACGCATTTCTATCTTACCATTAAGCAACACATTTGTGAGTAATCTTTCAGTAACTCTCGTTTCGTTCACTCCTCAGTTGTTATAGCTATTTTTACATGTAGATCTTCATTTACGAGGCACGGTAGTCTAGTGGTATGACGCCGGGCTCCTGACTGAAGGGCTTGCAGGTACGAGTCACGTCACGGCACTGGATTGTACCGCGTGTTCCAGTCTACTCAGCTATACATGAGTACGTGGTTGGGCAGTGCTAGAATTGTAGAATGCTAGATGTAAGTGCCTTAATGGCAGCACCTGTTTTATGCTCCCTAGGGAGTTGAGAAAGATATTGACTGGTTACAAAGGCCAAATAACCACGGTTAATAATTTTTGAACCGCTTTGAGAGACCTACGACCTAGGCTGTGATAAAGCGGTATATAAGAACCTCGAATTATCGTTTATTATTAACCTAGTTTGCTAACTTAACAGCTTTCTTGTTTTCTCTTTACTTACCTGCACCCTGTTTAAAGAGCTGATGTATTGGCCTACTGGGAACTACACCCTACTGGAGACAGTCGGAGGATGTCCGGTTGACGTCAAAGAGGAGTGGAGAACAGGTTCCAGGTTCCACATGGGGGACGGCCAGAATTATATTTCACCACTATTTAACCTGCATGGCAATTACACAAAGAAGTATTTCGAGCATACATTTTGTTCGCACGTTGGAATGATCGACAATACACTCATTCCCCGATACCAGACGTACTGGGACCCTGGACATTATTGTATTATGCGATTACATGGAAAATGTCCAAACGGTAAATATTCATAAAAAAATGTTTACCATTGATGCTGCGGAGATACATTAGCTTTATATTTTCGTTACAGTTTCTCCGACGATAATATAAAAAGTAACTTTTAAACCTGACAAACTTTTTTCAATAATTTGAATCGAAATAACGATGCATGTAACATCATCTAACTTCATGAGGAACGAGATTTCAATCGGATGAACAAATAACAGAGTGTATTAATTAGACGTAGACCGAGGGTGAAGAAAGCGTACCAATTACCTCTTCTCCTTTTATCAAACATTTTCATTATGTCTTCAGCAAGAATCCATGTACTCATTTAATATGCTTAACTAGAACAGAATTAAAATAAGTACCGAGGAAAATGTTAATAGAATTTTTAGAACGTATTACAGAATGAGTTTAGATGTTCCATCATAAGAGTTTACATAACCACCTACGTGAGAAACATACTAGAACAAGTAGGTATATAATGACTTGGTGGTTTGTTTGCTTAAACATTGTTTCTCCTGTATATTGTACTTATTCTAATCAATTACAAATTATTGGTATTGTAATAAGGTATGTCGTATATTCTTTTTTTTTCTTCTTTTTTCTTTCTCAGTCGACTGATTGAGATTTGATTTGTAAAGGTGCTTTCTTGCTCCGTGTTTCAAGTACTTTTCCAGTATCTTGAAGCTACAACTGTTTATCGTGTACTTAATCAATGTAGTTTCAGTTTCAAAATAATTACTACTTCCTAGTACCATCCTATGGATTTTAATTCTCGAACATCAGACACTTGAGAGCTGAGCGTATTGAAATTTAGCGTATTTATTGTGCTAGAGAAATACTCAATCACTACTGCTAGGCAACATGTTAGATCATGTTGAAGTCAATTCTTCTTTGATCGCTTTTGATCATATTTTTGTTTCAGGTTTTAAAGACGGGTATATCGAGATGGATGATTTGAATGGATTTGAAGCGCTTAGCAACACCAAAGGAACTGTACCCGATGGCGAATACCACAGGAACACAGGATTCTACTTTTGTTGCCGTTCTGACGGTGATTTAGATGTCCCCATTGTATTACCAAAGGAACTCCCTTTTTCTCTGTTTATGGCGTCTAAAGCGGATGACTGTCAGACTGTCAGAGGTAAGTGTAGGGCAAAAACGCTCATACGTTGGGTTCAATCCTTGTCAAGCGGAAAAGCTCCCAAATGTGTTATATATTATTCTTTACTTCTTTGAGGTAAAGGGGTCGCATTTTTTCCGTATAAAGTCATTAAGGCAAAATAATTGTATTACCTGTACTCTAGCTAAAAGATCCCTATTACATTGTACACTTCCAATAACTGTAACTGTAAAATTTACTTCTAGTCATATTACTTAAAAGTGACAAGTTATTTTGATGAAAATTGTTCTTCTAAGCCTAACCACTGACAACATGTATAACCTTACATTTTCAATTGGCAACCATGTGTACCTTGATGTATTTGTTATGGATAGTCTTACGGTAAAATACATTTGTTACATTTTTACCAGTGAAATTTTGAAAATATCACTTTTGCTGATTTGACCTATCAAAACACTGACTACAAACTACTTTGGAAAAAATTGCAATTTGCCCAAATGTTAAAAGCCTTGTTAGCCGAACGATACGCAGGCATCGAGAAAAAATCCGTCTGAGACATCAGTCCATTCTACTGCCCAGAATATTCATCTGTTACCTATCATTGGGGATTCATTCCACAGTTAATTTTCATTTTCAAAAAAGCCAGCAGACAAGGCAGGTCGGCAATTCTAACTATTTGATCGGAGAAAATTCAAGCCAAATTAAGCAAGGTGTCAGCGTCTCCAAGTCCAACGTTTGGCTTAGCGTTTGGCAGGAAGTATCAGAGAACCAGGGTCATAAGTATAACTTACATACACACACATGGTGTTGATATTTTATCAACAGGAGAAGTTTTGACAAAACAACTTTTTCCAACTTCCCACCATTGAAGATTTTGCGCTGATCAATAACACGTAGTAATCTGTGATGATATGAGGGGACTTTGTTTCTAAATAATGCAATTATGATAGTAGTTTGGCATACTTTATGTAAAATAGTAACTTAAGTGCCCACTTAACAAAATTAAGTAACTAAAGAAATGTAGTTATGAGCTTTTACATTTCAATAAATATTTTGCAGAGAGGACTATATTTTGTCGCGTTGGGTTATCTAGACATGCTAGTGATAAAAGTATCCAGCTCAAGTATTGTCAGCTTGATGTGTCGTTTTGCATACCGGTAAAGGTTTTCGTAAAAGATATAATAAACTTAATATCAAACAGTATCTTCAGTAATAGAACATCTATATATACGATATTACTGAAGTCACTGTTAGATATCCTCTATATATCCCACTTTATATTAAAGACGTAAACTATGTAATATTTGTTTCGTAGCTATATGAACTTCAATATTAAATAGTTTATTAACATTTGTGTACTGATCTGGAACGGTCAGTCATTTAATACAATCATTTGAACGGTGTTTGATGGGTTTTCCGTCCTGATATGAGCATCTGTACAGTTGTTTCTTTTCCTTCAGGGATGAGCTATAAAAAAGAGTTTTTTGTGTTTGATGACGAAAATGTCGACGTCCATATGAAGAAGGAAGGCGCTATACCTGAACTCAAGGACTGTGACAATAATACCATGATCTACTTCTGTTTCTACACTCCACTGGACTGCGGTAAATATGCATCTCTCTATAGAAAACAACGCGATTGACATTTTCCGTTATGGAAATCATCTGTTGTCAGTTAACATTATCACCAAAATTGTGTTCCTGTCCTAATAAGTCAGTAAAATAAATCACTTGGTATTGTTAAATAATAAAACATCTGTGGTGGTCCCTCAAATTGTTTTAGGTATCCATGCAGGGAATTTTAATATGTTTAACCGTTTAAAAATATAATTTGTTGACATTGATAATTATCTAATAACATTATTATGCTGTGTAACAGGTTGCAAAGACAACGATGGAAACTTTATCAAGACTGGAAGCAAGTTAACATCAGGCTGTGTGACATACGAGTGTACAGAGACTCAGAATATAGAGCACCTGGAGGTTTTTGAAGGCGGTACGTTTATGGTATACAATGAAAATATACTAGTGACTAACAATATATAATCATTATCTATTTGATTATTTGTGTAAAACAATTTAAAATATATATCAAATGGATGTTTTTATATTAACGTCCATTAAAATATATTGTAAAGTGAATTTCAACTAGATTTTTGCGTTTACTTAATGAGTAACAGGTGTTTTCCAAAAATCATATTGTTTTAGTACTTATTTGGAAATATATTAAAGAAACGCTTGTTGTTATTGTCAGCTAGGGTTGTCTTTATTCTTATGTTCTGGTTGTTATTATTGTCAGATTGGGTTGTCTTTATACTTATGTTCTGGTTGTTATTATGGTCAGCTAGGGTTGTCTTTATACTTATGTTCTGGTTGTTATTATTGTCAGCTAGGGCTGTCTTTATACTTATGTTCTGGTCGTTATTATTGTCAGCTAGGGTTGTCTTTATACTTATGTTCTGGTTGTTATTATGGTCACTTACGTTCTGGTTGTTATTATTGTCAGCTAGGGTTGTTTTTATACTTATGGGTTGTCTTTATACTCATGTTCTGGTTGTTATTATTGTCAGCTAGGGTTGTCTTTATACTTATGTTTTGGTTGTAATTATTGTCAGCTAGGGTTGTCTTTATACTTACGTTCTGGTTGTTATTATTGTCAGCTAGGGTTGCCGTCATACTTATGTTCTGGTTGTTATTATTGTCAGCTAGGGTTGTTTTTATACTTATGGGTTGTCTTTATACTTATGTTCTTTGTCAACTAGGATTGTCTTTATACTTATGTTTTGGTCGTAATTATTGTCAGCTAGGGTTATCTTTATACTTATGTTCTGGTCGTTATTATTGTCAGCTAAGGTTGTCTTTATACTTATGTTCTTTGTCAACTAGGATTGTCTTTATACTTATGTTCTGGTTATTATTATTGTCAGCTAGGGTTATCTTTATACTTATGTTCTGGTTTTTATTATTGTCAGCTAGGGGTGTCTTTATACTTATGTTCTGGTTATTATTATTGTCAGCTAGGGGTGTCTTTATACTTATGTTCTTTGTCAACTAGGATTGTCTTTATACTTATGTTTTTGTTGTAATTATTGTCAGCTAGGGTTATCTTTATACTTATGTTCTGGTCGTTATTATTGTCAGCTAAGGTTGTCTTTATACTTATGGTCTGCGTTGTTATTATGGTCAGCTAGGGGTGTCTTTATACTTATGTTCTTTGTCAACTAGGATTGTCTTTATACTTATGTTCTTTGTCAACTAGGATTGTCTTTATACTTATGTTCTTTGTCAACTAGGATTGTCTTTATACTTATGTTTTGGTTGTTATTATGGTCAGCTAGGGGTGTCTTTATACTTATGTTCTGCGTTGTTATTATGGTCAGTTAGGGTTGTCTTTATTCTTATGTTCTGGTTGTTATTATTGTCAGCTAGGGTTGTCTTTATACTTATGTTCTGGTTGTTATTATTGTCAGCTAGGGTTGTCTTTATACTTATGTTCTGGTTGTTATTAT